CTATTTAGGACAGATGTCCTAAAGGTTACTGACCCAGGGGAACATGGCAGTGGCAAGGCCAAGGCCAGGATGGACTAGACCTCCACAGGACAGCCCTGAAAACAAAGAATGGAACCTTGCAAGGCCCTTCACACTCTTCCTGAGAGGCCTGCACTGGTGTTGACATCCTGCATCCTCCAACCCAGCTTGGCAGGTGGCCATGTCTGTCACCTGCCTTGGCCAGCACAAAGGGCCTGTTCCCCAAGGAGCCATCCCGTGTACTCCCTATGTCAGAAGGGCCAGTTTTCCCCAGGGTAGCAGAGTAAAGAGCAGGGGTTTAGAATCGGCCAGATGTGGGTTTGAATCCACGCTCTACATGGGAACACTGTCATCTCCGAGTCTTGGTTTCGTCATCTGTCAAATGGAAAGGTCGTGAGAACTCATGCTCCAGGAGCACCCAACTCTCTGCACTGTGCCCTTGCACTTCGCCACGCTTTTGATCAAGCCAGCCAGCCCCTTCTGTGGCACTCCAGGTCTCCTTTCTCCACCAGGTGCTAACCTTCCATTCATTTTCAAAGTCCCAGCGATTAGCATTGTACCTGCCACAATCATAATAACTACTATTTATTCAGTGCCTACTGGGTGCCAAGCATCATATTGTTCCCATGAGATAGATGTTATTAGGCCCATTTTACTGACCAAGAACTTCACCTCTGAGAAGCTAAGCAAGTTGCCAGAGTAACGTGTCCAAGTTCACAGGCAGAGGATCTGAGTTCAAATCCAGCAGTGCCTGACTCTCAAGAGTCCCATCTCTCCACTGCTTCACAACAGACACAAAATGAAGGAATGACTTTGTAGAGTGAACCAGTGATGGTCGTCACGAGAGAGCAAGTGAGTGGGTGAGTTTACAATACGTGAATGACTGACAGATAGACAAAGGAATGAGGTGACTTCCCGTGGGTGAATGAATAGGACCATGACTAAATTTGTGACCAAACAGGTCCCTCCAACCTGACAAACCTCAGGCATCACACAGCAGCACTCAGAATGGAAGCAGTGACCAGGCTAAACCCACCCCTCCGCTGGGAGCTGTGCAAGATCTAATAAACCTCTTCAAGGTTGGAGGGAAAGGAGGGGGAATTCCCATGACAAAGATGAATTTCACCAAATCTAGCATATTTCTCGCTGCCAATTAATTAAGCAAACCTCAGAAATGAAGCCAGACCAGTAAATCAAGAGCGGGAAGGCTGGAACTCTGACATTATCTAGTTAGGCTGTGATCCATGCCTGGTGAGTGGGAGGCTGGCAAGAACCCTAGGGCACCACACTCCCCCCGCCCCTCCACCCTGACCAGCCTGTCATTCTTCAGTTTCTACATTCCAGGCTGGGCTTGGGCCTCTCCACCTTCAGTCTTAAACACTGGCAGTGGTGAACCTCCCCAGAGCCACTGATACAAGTGCCAAGCAGCCCCCACAGAAGGTGGCAGATGTAGGCAGGACCCCAAAAGGGGGCCCAGGGGAGGGTAGGGGAGATGAAAGCCCTCTTGAGTGTCTGCAAGACTTCTCATGACTTTGGAAGCAACCTGATGTGGTAGAAAAGACTGTGGACCTTGGATTCATGATATCATATTTGGGGTCCTGAGTTTACACAATGGTTAATAGCCCAGGGGGCTCCGGCCCAGACAAGCTGGAATTAACTTACTCCCTGGGCCATTTATTAGCTGTGTGCCCTTGAGCGAGTGGCTCCTCTTCTCTGAGTCTTCCTTCCTTCTTCTATAAACAATAGGGATAATGACAACATGGAATGTAGCTGTGGCACAGAATAAATGACTTGATGACGAGGGGCTTGGCAACGGGCTTGCCCAAAGCAAGTATTACATATATGCCAGTTACTGCCCCATTCGTCAGGGTCTGACATCCTCCTAACCCACTAGAACAGGGCTCCCCAAGCAGTTGCTGTGAATGACCAGATAATAAATTGTTTTGGCTTGAAGGCTATCTGGGCTCTGTTGCAACTACTGAATTCTGCTATTATAGTTCAAAAGCAGATGTGGACAGCACCTAAACCAATGTGCCTACCAGTGTTCCATTAAAATTTCATGGACTGGAATTGAAGTTTCACGTAACTTTTTATGTTACACAAAATTATATTCCTCTTCAGATTTGTTTTTCAACCATTTAAAAATGAACTTCTACTTTTTATTTATTTATTTTGAGACAGAGTCTCACTTTATTGCCCTCAATACAGGTAGAGTGCTGTGGTATCGTAGCTCACAGTAACCTCAAACTCTGGGGCTCCAGTGATCCTCTTGTCTCACTGCTCAGCTATTTTTGCAAGCTGAGGTCTCGCTCAGGTATGTCTTGAACTCCTGAGCTCAGACAATCCACCTCCCTCAGCCTGCCAGAGTGCTAGAATGACAGGTGTGAGCCACTGAATTTTTTTTAAAATATTCTTATCTTATGGGCCATGAGAATGCAGGCAGCAAGTTGAAATTTTCCCCACAAAACATAATTTACCACCACTGGATTAGAAGGTAAGCTCTATAAAGTGGTTAGTCTGTTTGTTCACTGCTATCCTCCCACCACCTAAAACAGTGCCTAGCAAACAGCAGATAATAAATATTTGCTGCATGAGTAAGTTACATGCTATGTGATTTCATGCAAGACATCATTTCACCTCTTTGGGCCTCAATTTTTCCACGTGACCATGGGGATGCCTTTAGACTTGAAGCAAGCATCAAATAAAGTGAGAACCCACATGGAGTCACTTTGCTAACTCTACAACTGCTGTACAATGTAGATTTTGCTTCTGACTACCTAGGGGCCCTCCTCCTTGTAAGTCTCGTTCCTACGCAGTGCCTGGCCCAGAGGAGATGCTTCATGAGTCTTAGTGTAGTGTGAGCAATCTGCCTTGGAGGAGGGGAATGCCCAAGCCGGCTACCATCTCCTATGCCAGTTGCAGGGTGGGGAATTAGATCATTAGCCAAGATCAGCAAGTTGGTCTGGGTTTAAAATGGCAGGGACTTTGGTGCTATCCATTAAACCAGTGAGGCAGTGAGGTAGACGGGGTATTTGGACAATCACTGGGTCCAAATTCTGGCTTTAACACTTATCGACTATGTGATTTTAGGCAAGTCATGAAAACTGTCTGAGACCTAATCTCCTTGTCTTTAAAATGGAGATACTAATAGTGCTCAGCTCACAAGCTGCATGAATGAAGAGACATATGCAACGGTTTATCTCAGCACCTAACACTCATTAAGCCCTCAGACCATGAGCATACTGTCCTCCTCTTGTTCAGCTCATCAGGGTCTGATTCCCAGGCCAGGGCCAGCCCATCTGAACAAAAAAGCCTGTCCTCTTCCCTGAACTGAAACCTTCCTGCTGCACTGCAAACTCAGGGAAGCCAAGCAATCTGCTGCTGGTGGGAGACAGGCGATCCCAAGTGCCTTCTATTTTCTCCTTCTATTTCCCTGCCAACCAGACAGGAAAGATGAGAAATAAACCGCATTTGCCCTCAATCTAAGGAAGAAGGTTTATGAGAGAAACGAGTACCTGAAGCTGAAGATGCTCACAGTCTCTCCTTCATTGCCTGTCTCTCTCTCTCCCTCCCTTTACCCCACTCCTCTATTTTGGCACCCAAACAAACACACCCATAGGCACATCTGCTCACACAATCACAGAGTGCACCGGAATGGAGAGAAGTATAATTGGTTTCAGTTGAGAGCTGAGTTTGGCTGCTGGTTCTTCCATTTAGGACCTATGTGACTTGTGCAAACCATTTTCCTTCTCAGAGCCCACTTACTCATTGAGTATCAAGACCAAGGCATGAGCACAGGTCTCTCACCTCCAAATCCAGGGCTCAATGGCAACCAGAAATGAAGAGTTCCAACCCAGTGGGAAGGGGCATTCTGTCCAAACAACCAGCACCTCCTCTACTATCCTGCTGTGTGACCTGAGGGAAATTACTACTCCATTCTGATCTATAGCTTTCTCATCTATAAAATGAGCAGATTCCTCGTCTATTCTCTGTCCTTAACTAAGAGCATCTCTAAATCTATGATCCTAGAACTCTGACCCAGTAATAAAAAAGGCAGGGTGTAAAGTAAGATGACCATGTATATCAGATTCCAGCCCAAAGGGAGGAGGCTAGGGGTCCAGGGGGGATTATATGGGCATCCAGGAGCACACCACAGGACACACAGAGGAAGGGAGTATCCTTGTCCCATCCCTATTTAGACCAATTCATAGGAACAGACTCAGACCCAGCCCCAAATCCTGCAAGCACCATAGGAATCTTCAACATCTCTCCATCAAATTTTGTTGGGAAATCCCCAAACATCAGCCCCAGCCTCCCCCAGCAATCCCAGCTAGAGTCCCTGAGGACCCATCTGCAGATTCAGATCCATCTGGGTCAGGATGCAGCAGCAGCTCCAGTCCTGCAACCTGGGCAGGGGATAGGGGGTGACTAGAAGTAATCATGTCACCGCTACCCTGGACTGGACATGTTCCTCCTCTGACTCCACGCTACTGTGTTGGTCCAGATGCATTTACTTGGAATGGGGCTTCAGTCTCCCTCCTAAGCATCTAGGCCTCAGTAGAGAAGAGGCTCACCCACTTGCCTAGGCACCCCGTGCCCACTCTGGTCTTGCTTGTTGTATCCCCCAGGAGCTGGATCCTCTTTTGCTGGGGTCCGGCTGTTCGTGAAGAACCAACCACCACAGACCTCTGTACCACTGCCCCCTTGACCTGCCTGCCTCCTGCTGAGTTCCACCTATGGGATTTTCCCAGTTGGCCACCCCACCCAGAAAGTACTGACTCCCTCTCTTGGCCCTGCCTTTCCTGGTCAGCCTCCTCAGTCCCCTTCCCCTTTGCTTCTTCATTGATTGCCATAGTCGAGGTCCCAGCTGCCCCATCTGAATGGCACCTGGAAAAAGAAGGGACTCAAGTGCCACCAGGAGGCCTGACTCCACCCCCACCTGGCCAGGGGACCTCAGGCACTGCCCAGCCAGCTGCCCTTACCTTCTCCAGCTGGTGGACACCCTCTTCCACGCAGCAGATGGAGGCCAGAGTGCGGAGAGCCTGGGGGTACAAGCACCTCAAATTGTCCTGCCGGCAAACCTTGAAGAGTGCTACCACGCCACCCTCCTGCCAAGAAAAAAGAAATGTCACCTGACCTCACATTGTGACCTTTCCTGGGGCTGACTCCAGAATAACTGGCATCCCTCGCTCAGCAGATATGCTTTCAGCCCACCCTTTTCCACCCCACACATTCACACTCATGCTACAGTAAAATGCTGACTCCAGTAATAATGTCACCCTTGATAGTCCAAGCTGGAGGTGGGAATCCCTAAATGCTTCTGATGCTTGGTGGCAGGGGCCAAGTCAGGCATATTTTCTCGGGTTGTGGGGAGGGCAACCTCATTCAGTACAGTTCCTGGACACCTGGTGTCTCCCTCTGAGCAGCTCCCCAAGGAGCAAACCCTGGAGTCACAGCAAACAGGTCCCAGAAATAAATCTAAGGCAAGTAAGGGGAACTGACTAGATGGCCAGAGCTGGTTCTGGCTCCGCCAGCAATCCCCACGCTACCCCGCCCACCCCCAGATTATTCCAGCCATTGCAGCAGGCAGACAAAGAAAACCTTATTTCTATTATGTAAGTTTTATAATTTACTCCATTTTGTAAGGGAAACAACTGAAGTCCAGATGGGTATAATAATTTACCCTAAATCCACACTGTCATTGTTTTCACACCTTTACTCCTGTTCATAAAAGGGGAAAACAGCCCTGTAGGAACAATCAATCAGCCAGCTCTTGAACGTGAGCACGTGCTTTTCCTTTTGAGAGAGCTGTTTATGGAAACCTCTTCCCAGTAGAGCATTCATCACCCAGCAAGAACTGGGAGTGAGGCGCCCACCCTCTAGGTACCTGATAACCGTTTGTATTATTCTATTGCAATCACTGGAGCCCACCTTAGCTCTGAGAGGAAAATGAGAGAGTCAGCAGCCACCATCGTGCCTAACCATGGTGTCCCTTGGCAAACAAATGGCAGCACGATCTTGGGTGGCCAAAGTAGGAGAAGCTGGATACCCTGCATCTGGCTATGCCCAGTTCCCTCCTAGTCCCCTTTCCTTGTGGACTGGAAGAAGGTGTAGCAGTAAAGAATTCATGAGCAACTGATCTCAACTGGGCCTCTGGGGCCTATGCCTTTAGCCTCATCAGTCCCGTGTCTAACTAAGCCCAATGCACCAGTCCCCAAAACTCAGCAAAATGTTACAGGAAAAAAGTAGAGTTCAGCAAAATACCATCCTTTATCAGGTTTTTGAGAGCAAAAACTATTCTGTCAACAAAAATTATACTAAACACCTACTATGTGCTGGGCTCTGTTCTGTGTGCTGAGGACGCAGCTGTGAATTACTGAAAACATGATGAGTGAGCAACTATAAGAGGACGCAATGACCACCACAGCCCAGCACAGGTTCACTGAAATAGCTCAATCCCAGCTCTTCCCTCCCCCTCCATCCCCAAAAGATAGTCTCCTGGGCCCTTTTCATTGCTGCTGATTGCTTCAGGGACCAAGACAAAGGTGTCCAGCTCTACAGGAAGTGACAATTTCTGATATTTTATAATCAGCTAAGAGTGATCACAAACTTTTATATCCCTATTTCCTCCTAGAGTAGTTGACTTGATATGAAGGGGACATATCTTAGGGCTGGTAAATGCATTCATGCATTCGAAAAATACTAGCTGTTTATTACATGCCAGACACGGTGCTGGGCTCCAAGCAAGACTACCTCAATCCCCATCCATACTGAACTCATGATCTGGCAGGGAAGGCAAATAATTATAAATGTGGGTCCAAAACTGGGTGGAGGTGCAATGAAATGAGGTTGGGGTGCAAGGTTAAGGAAGCACAGAGCAGGAGCCCATAACATAATCTGGGAGGGCTTTGTAGAAGGGTCAGACAGAACCAATCTGATTTAAACACACATCATTACTCCAATAAAAATACATCTGGCATGAGAGAGATGCCTACCCCTCTGATTCCTTATTCCATGATCCATCACCCCTGCCTTCCTGTTTCTCATAGTTCCTAGGCACTGGGAGCATTAGGGTTGCTCATGAAAACCTCACTCAGACAGTCACTGAAGCAAAACCAAGTTACTCTTTAATGTGAGAATGTGAAAAGAAAGACGAATCCTAAACTCTTTTCCCCTACTGGTCATTAATAGCCTCTCTCCAGGTATAAGTATATGTACATATGTACAGATATGTATTTATATACATGTGCTTATAATTTTAAGCACATATATTGTATAAATATCATTTCTAGATATAGAAATAGAGAGAGATTGTTCGATGATTGATGGGGAGATATTTACATCTGTAGCAGACAATGAAGAAACAGTGCCAAAGAACACGCAGCCGAGAGCCAGAGAGGCTATGGCAACTCTCCCTGGCTCAGGAGGCACCAAGCCCAGCACAACTATATTTAAGGCCCTGCAAGCATTTGCATTGGAGTCTCATTATATCTTTCCCAAGCCTGTGAAAAATGGCCTTCTTAGCATTTTTATCTGATGGGAAAGGAAAGGAGAAATTCCTGGATCCAGATTAGAATTCTAGTCCAAATCCTAGTTAACCTGCTGCTGGTTAACTTTGGCTAAAAATGGGGTATAACAGCCGCATGACTGGGATGCTGGGGGAGCCTAGTATGCAGATCTGGCCAGTCAGGTGAGGGTCTGGCTATGGAAGGCTTCCAGATAAGGAGAGTTTCTCATGCCCTATGAGAGGTAAGTGGGAAGAGCAGGAAGGAGCCAGAGAGGAAGTAAGATGAAGTGGTCTTGTGGACCACTCTGGAGCCCCCATTCAGGACCCAAGAATAGCACTTTACTAGAGTAAAGCCAGGGATTGCCTGAGCTAGCAGAATCACTACTGGCTGGAGCTTGTTTAATTTTATTGAAAGCTCTGGGCTCAGAGCCCAGCTACATGACAGTATGAATTATGCTAACAGATTGAGGATGAGCTGTCATTAAGCTGGAAGAAACCACCTATAGGGTGTGGGCTGGTGGTGGAGGAAGAACAGAGGAGATGGGGGTGGTTTTAATGAGGCCCTGGGGAGTTTTCTGTTCTGCACTGGGGAAGGGATGGGGTTTGCCACCATCATCACAGGGAGGGCTAGACTTGTCCCTTGGTCTTCAGAGGAACACAAGAGACTGAGAGCACAGACCTCAGACAGGCTACCCAAGCTCTCTCCTGGAGGTAGCTCAAATAGATGAGGGTACCAAAGAAAGACCACTGTGGGCCCCAAAGAGGTGGGTAAGGAAAGCCAGTGAGGGTAACTGTCCCACATCTGTTACCACAATGGGCACCTCTACTGAGCATCCAAGGTGAGGGTGTCATGCAGGGCATGCCAGGGACTCCCAACTCCTGTGTCTCTACCAGTACCATAAGCACAAACACACTGAGTATATGCTGGAAGAAGCAATATCATCATCTTCCAGGCTAGAAAGATGGAAGCCTCACTGAATCTACTCTCTGCTTCAACCCTCCATCTCTAAGAGCAGAGACATAGAATGTTGAAATTATGATTCTGCAGTCTGTAGACATGTTCACAATCCCAGCTATGCATTAGTATGTGCCACCCTGGGGAAATTATTTGCCTTCTTTCTGAAGCTCTGTTTCTTCACCATAAAAGTGGGAATTATAACATATCAGAAGATCATAGGGACATCAGTGGAAATCATAAATGGAAAGCTTAGCTTGAGTGAAAAAACAGACATTGAAGGTGGGTGAGAGGAGAGCAAAGGGAAGAAGAGGAAGAGAAGAATGTAAGATAAGAGAAATAGGAGGGGAAGGTAAGAGGAAGAGAAAATAAATTGCTGCTGAAAGGCTGTTCAAAATAGTAACCAAGAGCATAGCCTTTGCTGCCAAACAGCCAAGTTCAAATTCCAGTTGTCACTTACTAGCTGTTGCCTTTCTCCATGTCTCAGCTTCCTGACTTATAAAATGGGGCATATACTGTCCACCAGAGAGGATTGTTGGGTCAGGGAGCTAAATACTCTATTAGCCCTCTATCAATAATAATATTGAATGTGCATGGACTAAACTCTCCAATCAAAAGACATGGGGTAGCTGTGTGGATCAAAAAACAAGACCAAATAAGGATCTACAAGAAATGTTGTCTTTACCTGTAAAGACATGTAGATTGAAAATAAAGGGATGGGAAAAGAAGATATTCCATGCAAGTGGAAACCAAAAAAGAACAGGAGTAGCTATACTTCTATCAGATAAAATATATTTTAAAGACAAAAACTGGCAATTATAAATTGGGCTGCAATAAACATTCTCATGCAAATATTTTTGTTGTAATGTGATTTTTGGTCTTCTGGGTATATACCTAATAAAGGAATTGCAGGATCAAATGGCAGGTCTATTTTTAGTTCTCTAAGTGTTCTCCAGATGTCTTTCCAAAAGGATGAACAAACTGTGGTATATGTACACCATGGAATACTATGCATGGAGACTTTATGTCCTTCATATTCACATGGATGGAGCTGGAAAGTGTTCTTCTTAGCAAAGTATCACAGGAATGGAAGAAAAAGTGTCCAGTGTACACAGCCCTATTATGAAATGAATTTATAGCTTTCATATGAAATCTATAACCTAATAACAGCCTAAGTATACAGGGAGGGGGGAATGGGTGGAGGGAGGGTGATTGGAGGGATCACTTCTATGGTTTATCTTATAAGGGTACAAGTGAATCTTTCTAAGAGTAGAATAAGATTGTCTTAACACAATAACTAAGAAAATGACATGAAGGCTATGTTAACCAGTTTGATGAAAATATTTCAAATTGTATATGAAAACACCACACTGTACCCCAGAATTGCATTAATTACCTAGTTATAATTTAATTTAAAAAAAGACAAAAACTGTAAAAGGAGACAAAGAAAGTCATTATACAATGATAAAGGGGACAATTCAGCAAAAGGATATAACAACTCTAAATATTTATACACCCAACTCTGGAGCACGCAAATATTATCAGAGCTAAAGAATGAGAAAATACCTTCAAACTCCCCACTTAACAAGGCATTAATAACAAGAATATCAATCCTACTTAAACTATTTTTTAAAAATTGAGGAGGAGGGGATACTCCCAAACTCCTTCTATGAGGGTAAACCACCCTGATATCAAAACCAGACAAAGACATAACAACAATAACAACAACAACTATAAGCCAATATCTCTGATGAACACAGATGCAAAAATCCTCAACAAAATACTAGCAAACTGAATTCTATAACACATTAGAAAGATTATTCATCATGATCAAGTGGGATTAATCCCAGGGGTGAAAGGATGGGTCAACATACATAAATCATACAGTGTGCTACAGCATATCAAAACAACAAAGGACAAAAACCATATGATCATTTCAATTGGTGCTGAAAATGCATTTGATAGTATTCAACATCCTTCATGATAAAAACTCTCAAACAAAAAACTGGGTAGAGAAGGAACTTACTGCAACATGTTAAAAGCCATATATGACAGATCCACAGCTGGTAGCATACTGAACAGGGAAAAACTAAAATCTTTTCATATAAGGTCTAGAACAAGACAATGAAGCCCACTGTAACCACTATTATTCAACATACTGCTGGAAGTTCTAGCTATAGCATTCAGACAAGAGAAAGAAGTAAAAGTCATCCAAATTGGAAAAGAAATCAAATTATCTATGTTTGTAGACTATATGATCTAATATCAAGAGAAACCTAAAGACTCCACAAAAATCTATTAGAACTGATTAACAAATTCAGTAAAGTTGCAGGATACAAAATCAACATACGAAAATTAGTAGCATGTCTACATATCACCAGCACACAATCTGGAAAAAGAAATGAAAAAAGAAATCCCATTTACAGAAGCTACAAATAAAATAAAATACCCAGGAATAAACTTAACCAAAGAAGTGAAAGATCACCATAATAAAAACTATAAAACATGGATGAAAGAAGTTGAAGGGAAAAAAAACAAATAAACAAAAAACAGAGAGATAGTCCATGGGCATGGGTTACAAGAATAAATATTATTAAAATGTCCATACTACCCAAAGCAATCTATAGATTTAATACTATCCCCATTGAAACACCAAGGACATTCTTCACAGAAATAGAAAAAATAAATCTAAAATTTATACAGAACCTCAAAAAGCCCAGACTAGACAAAACTATTCTGAGCAAAGAGAACAAAACTAGAGGAATCACATTACCTGACTTCAAATTATACTACAGAGCTGTAGTAGCCAAAACATCATGCTACTGGCAGAGAAACAGACATGATGATGAATGGAATAGAATAGAGCACCCAGAAGTAAATATATACATGTATAGTGAATTTCTCTTCAACAAAGTTGTCAAGAACATACGGCACAGAAAAGGACAATCTCTTCTACAAATAGTACTAGGAAAACTGGATATCCATATGCAGAAGAATGAAACTAGACTCTTCTCTATTGCCAGATATAAAAATCAAATCTAAATAGAGTACAGACTTAAATTTAAGATCTGAAATTGTAAAACTACCAATAGAAAACTGGGGAAACACTTCAGGACACTGATCTAGACAAGGACTTCTTAAGTTAATAGCCCCCAAGCACAGGCAACCAAAGCAAAGTTGGGCAAATGGGGTCACATCAAGCTAAAAAGCTTCTGTACAGTAAAGGAAACAATCAAGAAAATGAAAACATAACCCACAGAATGGGAGAAAATACCTTCAAACTCCCCACTTAACAAGGCATTAATAACTAGAATATATAAGGAGTTCCAACAATTCAATAGGATAAAATCAATTAATCCCATTGAAAATTGAGCAAAAGATCTAAATAGACATTTCTCAAAAGAAGACATGCAAATGGTCAACAGATACATGAAGAAATGCTCAACATCCTTAATCATCAGAGAAATACAAATCAAAACCACAATGAGATATCATCTCACTCTAGTTAAAATGGCTTTTATTAAAAGACAAGCAAAAATGAATGCTGGTGAGGATGTAGAGAAAGGGGAACCCTCATTCTCTGTTGTGGGGATGTAAATTATTGCAACCACTATGGAGGACAGTATGGAGATTCCTCAAAAACTAGAACTACCATATGACCCAGCAACCCCACTGCTGGGGATGTATCCAAAGGAAGGGAAGTCAGTGTATTGAAAAGATATCTGCACTCTCATGTTGTTGACTGCAGCGCTATTCACAATGACCATGATTTGGAATCAACTTAAATGTCCACTGATGTCAATGGATGAATGGATAAAGAAGTTGTATACACAATGAAATAGTATATATCCATAAAAAGAAGGAAGTCTTTCCATTTGCAATGAGATGAGATAAGCCAAGCATAGAAATACAAATCTTGCATGTTCTCACTTATATGTGGGAACTATATATTTAAAAGAAGCATTGATTTCATAGAGACAGACTGTAGAATGATAGTTCCCAGAGACTGGCAAAGGTAGAAGGGAGAGGAGCATAAAATGGGGATAGTGAATGGGTACAGAAATACAGTTAGATAGTTAAATAGAATGAACAATATTGGATAGCAAAGCATAGTGACTATAATCCACAATAAGTTAGGGTATACTTTAGAGTGGAATTGGAGTGTTCCTAACAAAGAAATGATAAATGCCTGAGGTGACAAATACTTCAATTACCCTGATTTAGTTAATTAACATTATATAGGCTTGCATCAAAACATCATATGTACCCTATGAATATATATGACTCTTATGTATCCATAAAATTAACAATTAGAAATAAATTAGAGTCAATATATGTCTCTAGGGATAGCCATGCTACCTTTGCATTTCTCAATGTGTGGTACACTGAGAGTTTGCGCTAAAATTGGAGTACATGAGAGATGGGAGAAGGGGAACTTATTAAAAATTCTCCATCCCCAGTTAAAACATATTCTCCTTAGGAAAGTATCACAAGAACTGAAAAGCAAGTATCCAATATACTCAATACTACTATGAAGCCAGTAGATGATCTAATATATGCCCACATAAGAGAAAAACTCAATTCAATTCAAGCTGGAGGGAGTGGGGACAAGGGAGGGAGAAGCAGCGAGGAGGGAGGGGAATTGGTGTGCTCCCACTTAATGGGGACAATGTAAAGGTATATGGCACACCCCTTGGGTATGAGACACAACTACAAGACAGATGTAAACATTGTAACCTAGTTGTCTGTACCCTCACAGTAGCCTGAAATAAAAAATAAAAATAAAAATAAATTTTAAAATATTCTCCACACCCAGTGAATCTGTTTCTGGACATAGGATGAGCCACTGGATACTCAACAGCCCCTCAGGGACCTCTTCAGAAGTCAGTGGTTAAACTGACCTCAGATCCCTCCCCACACTCAGCAATTTTGGATCTATGAATTTGCCATTTACTCATTCGACAAACATTCTTTGAGACCTGCTTTGTGTAGGCATTGCACTAAGCATACAGAGATGATTCAGATGCTTCTGTCCTCAAAAAGCACACAGCTTAAAACATGCAACACAATAGGACACAGTAAGTGCTGAGACAGTGCCTGGTACTCTTTATAGACATCACAGGTGGGAGGGTTTCTGAAAAGCAATACGGAAAAACATAGAGCTGAATGTGAAGCTGAACAAGAGTTTTCCAAGTGGCAAGTAAGGGAGAAGGGCATTCATATCACAAAGACAAACAGGTGCGATGGTTATAACTTATGATCTTGACCATCAAGGGCTGCTGGGAAAAGGAGAGTAACACAAAGCTGAGAAAGGACAAGGCCAATGGGAGATGGCGCTTGGAGAAGAGCATGTGAACTTCTCAGAGAGATCCAACCCCACCCACAGTGAGATTGACCATCACCCTGGGGGCTCAGATAGGTCCAGTCACATCTTGGGGAGGCACACCTCTGCCCCTCCCCTCAAACGAGGGACAGCCATGGCCACCCTAGCCCAAAGGCCAGAATGTAGGACCAGTCCCGCAGAGCCAGAGCAGAGAGGGAGGCTGTCTCTGGTCTCCTTTCAGCCTGGGGGACGTAAAAACTAAAAGGAAGGCTTAGGAGAAGGATATGCAAACAGAATTGAGATGAATTATTCAAATCAAGCCTGCTTTGCAATTTAGCTGGCATTCTTTTCTCTTGTATTTCTCCAGCAAGTTCCTGCATTTTGTTATATTCAGAGATTTGTACAGCCTCCCTCTTTTGTGAGGAATAGGAAAGCTTAGGACAGGCAGCCACTGGGTCTATTTTGGAGCTCATGTTGTTTTGATGCCTGCTGAACACTGGCCAGTGAACTTAGTGACAAAACAATGGAAGGCTCAGATTCTTCTTCCACTTTTCTAGGGGGCTTATAGGCAGATGCTAAGGCTCTCGAGAGTCCAAGCGGTCACAAAAAAGAATAAGGGCACTGGATGGAACCCTGGCAAACAAATACCTCTGAATTTGAAGTGAAGGTCATTTTGCAGACCTATTCCTTCTATTTCTTCTGAAAACACTACTGCTCATTATTATGGGGGTGTGGTTGTTGATGTGGGGGTGTGGGTAGTAGGGCTTAACCTATAGACAATTCTATATGAAAATAAATTTCTTCAAACTGGGTTTGAATCATTTCCATATCTCATATCTGTGATGTCAGGGGCTACAAAAGGTCAATCAATCTTCTGAAATGCTATATGCCAGATGGCCTTTGTATCCACTACATCATCCTGTGGACACCAGGGATGCCACAGCCACCAAGAAGGAACAGATGCGTGGATATGGGAAAAGAAGGTTGAAATTTTAACAGATTTCACCTAAAGAAAGATGATAGAGGTTCTCAGGGTACCAGCTTTTTGTTTCAAGTAGGAAATGAGCTCACCCATTGAAGGTGACGTGACTCTCCCTGTAAGGTCATGCAGCTAGCCAACTCTAGAACCAAGATAGACCTCCTGAACCAGCCATTCCCACTGACAAGTGAACTTCCTCCCACTTTCCCCATCTTGCTATTTTGGCCTCTAAGCACGAAGCTTACCTTGGCTATGATGCGGCACAAGGGAGCTCCCTCCTGGGTCAGGCTGAACAGGTTCCCTGTAGTGGACTCCATGGTGTAGATATTGTCTGAGGCATCAATTTTTCTCACCAGGGCCTAACAAGAGACAGAAAAGTCAGCTGGTTACTCACCCCCATCTGCCCTGTGCTCATCTTAATACCACAGTGGGCCTTAATATCCTGTTCCTAATAGCCCTTCTGGAATCTATAATCCTGCCCCATCGACCACCCCTCTGTAGGGACAATGAGCCTGATCTGGGCCTTCCTATTAGTTTCTCCCCTCCCACCCCCCCAGACTGAGGTGCTAGCTTCAGGAAAGATGTGATTTCAGAGATAAGGGAGAACTTCACATCTCTGGGGCAAGAGCAACTAATTTTCCAGGCCCCCTGATCGGTTCTCAAAATTGATAGGCTCAGCAAATACCATTTTGTTGTGCTACTGGCTCTGAATAAAAACAGAAACTGTCAATTAAATAAACAGACCATCAAGGTGAAAACTAATGAGCTGCTACAGCTATGACCAAAGAATTGGCTCATTTGGGGTGGTGATTAACCAGTGGTGAACTCTCACTGAGTGACGGGTTCAGGGGTAAAGTCACGAGAAGCCCTCCTCCCTCAATGGCACCTTACTGCCTGGGCCATTTGCTAGGACCTTTGCACTCTCTCATAGCTTCCTGCTTGGGTGTGTAGCCAGGCCAAATTGCAAACCTGGGATCCTATCAAAGGGTGGGTAACTCAGTGGGGAAAGCCACACTGACCAAGGCTGAAGGATCTAAAGCTGGTGGTGAGAGGGGCTGGGAATGACTGAGCATGAGACCGAGGGAGGCCCAGGGAGAAAAGCTAATGGAAGAGTCATTAACAAAGAAGATAGGAAGATTATTCCTAGAAAAGTTAAGCAAATTTCTGGGAAAAAGCCTTTCATGAATCTTGAAACCACTTCATAATCAGCTATTTGCCTTGGAGCATTTGATTCATTGATTATAAATAATTCCTACCTACTCATTATTGCCAGTTGCTCAAGTTTCTCCTGGGAAGCGTGGGGATAGGGACTGGGGGAGAGCTGCCTTTGAGGGCTTCACACAGGAAGCTGGGTGCTCTGAGTGGCCACTTGTTCAGTTTCAGTTGTCATGTTGATTTTAAAACATTCAAATAATGCATCATGGCATCTTTCAGTTGCCATGTTTATTTTAAAACATTACAATTTATTTGTTTTTAATTAAATCCTGGCAACTTAGACACATAAGAACAACACTTAGACCACCTTAGCCTTTCCTTGCTTCTGCTTCCTCATCTATAAAGTGCTATAAATAATAGTATCTATCTTTTAGAGAAGTTGTGCCCCATTCTTAAGGTTGTCAATATATTTCAAGGCCTTGACAGGTATCTGACAAATGGAAGCACAACAAAATTGTTCGCAATTACAATTTTGTGATCTTGGGCAATTGAGATAGTTTGCCCATTTGTTAAATAATTGCAATTAAAGGAGTTCGATACTCAAGGTAAGTGGCTTTTCCTTTTTCCTTCTTTATTCAAACTCATGAAATTCTTCACACACACGGCATGCTAATCTTCCATAGAGCAGTCTAAGATTAATTATGCATTTAATCAAACTATGTTAAATACAAAAATTATTCTCCAAGATTTGATAGATGCCTCTTGTTAGAGATTCAACAAAAGGTAAAATTAATAACCAAAATTTGTCACTACAAATCTCTTGTAATGATCACACTTCTTAGAATCCTTCCCCATCATTACCGTAAGCACATGTGATACATGAAAATACAGATTTCATATATCGGGGTCCTGTACCTAAATGATAATTACCTAATGTTCCTGATTAGTGTTTGCACTTGAAGCAAATTAGCATTACATTAAACAATTCAAACCCAATGTCTTTTGCAATCAGCTGCTAATATTAGACAATTTAAGTGGGAGAATAATTTCATGTTAATGTCTATACACATATATACAGTAATTACACCTCGGCTATGTCTCAGAGAATCAGATCTCAGACAAAGAAAAGTTGTGAGCACCCTTTCCACAGCATAAATCTGTGATGCAAGATCAAAGGCTCTGCTGACGTCTTCAAGGCCCTAAATATCACAACTATCTCAGAACTGGGAAGGAATCTCAGAAATTTTTTGTCCGAATCTTATTTCACAGTTGAGGAAACTAAGACACAGTCATGACCAAGGTCACACATGTGATCCAGGGTGAAGCTGGTCCCTGACCCCTGAGATTCTGATTTCCCATTCTCAAAAGTCAGTGATTGCATCTCCTTTAATGGTGGCAGGACCTCACCTGGAGGTCCACGTAGTGGAGCTGGGAGCCTCAGGGCTCTCACCAAATGGGAGAGTGGTTCTCTATCCTGGCTTCCCACTCACATCTAATACTTTGTGTCGTGTGGTGGGAACCAGAGCTCCTGCAACAAGAGGCATAGCTGACTGGGGACTCTGCTACTGCTGCTCCTCTGAATCTTCCCTGTGTCCTTGTCGAGACTATATTACTCCTGAGCTGCTCCCAGCTGTGACTGAGCAGAGCCTGACTGTGGGGTCTCCAATGGGTGACTGGGTTGGCTTCCTGTGAGTCTCTTCCTTCCCCCTTTCCTTCTAGACACAGAGTCAGGCCTGCAACATGGTTTTTCACACCTGCTTCTCCTTCTAGGACTTGCTGATTTAATCCTGTGTTAGCAACTACTTCAAAGCAACACAGTCTAGAACTCAAGGTGTTTTTTACCCAAAAAGTCAAGCAAATATTAGAGCAATTTCACAAATAAGTTTCACTCTCTTTCATGAGAAGAGTGGTGAAAAATTAAGGAAGATAGGCTGAATGACAAATATTTTCTTAAAAGATAGACGAGGCATGTATGGAACAAAGAAAAAAAGAAAACGTCTTTTTAGATCAAGAGAAAAGGATAAAAGAAGTTAAGGAGATGCATACAGATTAACTACTCTACATAAGGAATTAGAAAGAAGGATATATTTTTAATTGTTTCTCCACCAGAAAGAATGACTTAAACCCAGTGAAATCTATCAGAAGTGAGGTAAACTCTCAAAGAACGGGCTAAAACAAGTCTCTCAGAGAGATCCAGGAAAATATTAGGAAGCCCCTTCCTAGAGCTTTAGATAGAGAGTCCACAGTTAGACACCTATGCAAAGGGGTTACATACAACACAGGCAGACTTGACAGGAGATTACAGATGGCTACCGATTCTTTTCTACTCCTTCCATAGACTGATGAATTCTAATTCCCTTTCCTGTGAATCTAGTCTAGCTTTAGAGCTTTGCTTAACCAATAAAAGTTAGCACTATGAAAGCTATAACCTAATAACAACCTAAGGATACAGGGAGGGGGGAAGGAGGGGGGAGAGGGTGGAGGAAGAGGAATTGGAGGGTTCACTTCTGTGGTTCATCTTACAAGGGTACAAGTGAATCTTTTTATGAGTAGAATATGAATGTTTTAACACAATAACTAAGAAAGTTACATGAAGGTTATGTACCCCCAAAGTGCATCAATGTACACAGTTACCATTCAATTAAAAAAAAAAAAAAAAGGAAAAAAAATGTGATGTCCCGAGACTTCCAAAGCCAAATCATAAGAAGCCTTAATGACTCCCCACCACCACCCCACCCCAGAGTTCTTGGGATACTGTTTTGGGAGCCCTGAGCTGCCAGGTAAGAAACATGATAACTCTCAGGCTGTCGTGCCAGAAAAGCCACGTTAGGATCTTTACTGACACTCAGCACCGGGACCAGCCTTGCAGCCATCCTTCCAAGGCACCATACATGTGAGTGAAGCTGTCTAGGACTCTCCAAACCATCTTCCAACTGAATGTTATCTCTGTTGATGCCACAATGATTGGAAGAATCATTCAATCTAACCCAACCTGCTTAAATTCTTGACACTTAAAAGCAGAAGATACAATAAAAACAGGTGTAGTCGGAATTTTTTATTATTCTTTAAGAGAGCTCTGAAACATAAGAAAAGAAAGAAAGAAGCAGGAACTATTCGAAGAATTACTGCATAATTTTCCAGGTGACAGTCTGGAGAAGTAGGGGTGTAGTATTTCCTATGTCCTAAGGGAACATGCCAGAGAAATGTATGAATCAGGACTCTGAGGGAAGACACACAAAGACTGGACATACTAAAGAGAAAATAATAATTGAAGGGCAAGTGCAGTGGCTCATGCCTATAATCCCAGAACTCTGGGAGGCTGAGGCAAGAAGATCACTCAAGCTCAGGATTTCAAGACCTGCCTGATCAAGAGTGAGAGCCCCAACTCTACCCAAAATAGAAAAATTAGTTGGCCATTATGGGGGGGCCACCTGTAGTCCCAGCTACTTAGGAAGCTAAGCAGGAGGATTGCTTGAACCCAGGAATTAGAGGTTGCTGTGAGCCAGGCTGATGCCATGGCAGAAACTCTGTCTCAAGAGTTTATATATAAATATATATATATACACACACATACATATGTACGTATGTATATATATGTACATATACATATATATTACACATACATATATAACATAATAACAAGAAAAAGCTATTAAGGAAGGTAAATATGATGTGAATAAGATCTGGTAGACCTGGAGGCTTTTGGCAGACCCAGAATGTAACTTATTTCATTGTTCTTAGTAAGGGAAATCCCCAAAGGTTTGTTGGGGGAAAAAAAATGTGCTAAAAAACAAAAGGAAGTAAAAGTAGGGAAAACTGATCAGACCTAGTTGCTATATTCCCTCTGAGTTAGAGAAGGAAAGAGACCCACGTGAGAATGAGAGTTAAACCCTTAGAAATTCAACCTAGTCTCCCTAAAAAGGGCTTGGAAACTGAGAGGAGGAAAGAGAACCCTGGAGGAAGAGTTCATGACTGCAAAAAAAGATGTAGCATAAAGAAATACTACTCAAGGCTGGAATATTCACAAGGTATAGAAAGAAGCTATTTTGAGAAGCACCTGGCAGGGGTTCTGGTTCTCTCTGGGCCTATAGCGTCAGACTCCAGGACCACCAGTAGTGGCCCCAGTTCAAGCATCTGCCAAGGGTGAACCTTTCAAAGCAGCAAATGTGGAAAAACCTCTCTAGCAGTAGGGGTCTTATGGCCT